TAAAATGTGTAGGGAACCTGTGAAAACGAAGTCTGATAACTCAACCAACTTTTTTTTATCATCTCAGCCGCTCACAGCCGCAGGAGTACGAGCTGTGTGGGCCCCGGCGCGGCTCTGCATCGCCTCCGAGGAATCTTCGGGAATTTCGGGAAAATATATATATATTCAGTTCTGGGCAGTTTTCCAAGTAGTTCTAACAATTGAGAGAAAAATGCTGAGGGGCCAGCAACTTCAAAGTAATAACTCAGGTTAAAGCAGGAAACTCAGCTTAGAAGAATGGGGGCGGCGGTGGGGGGGTGGGGGGCTTTGCTTAAAAAAGGTCGTTAAATAAATATTTAATTGGAAGTCTTTGTGTGTGTCCTTTATTAAAATTAAATCATTTAGCAATATTATAAAAAGTCCAGGCAGAGCTGCACATAAAATATGGTTTCAAATCTTTTCAATAATTATCGATATCGATCAATATGCATTTTTTTTTATCGATAAGCTTTTTTTCTTTATCGCTCAGCCCTACTCTGAACCCAATCCATGCCGAGTTTGGACTCATGTTGGATCAGTTAACCGTGCCGAGCCCGGTTCTTATGACCATTTACACATCACGCTAGCCCGGTTTCTTGCCTCCTATCAGCGGTCCACAATACTACAGCTCTAAAGGTGGGAATTATGCAAACAAAAGTGGAAACATTCAGGAACTTATGTGCCTAAAATTTCAGTGAGAGCCTTGGTCTCATCATCATCCCAGGTTGCACCACACTCTTTGGTGCCATTTATTGTTAACAGGCTGAGAAGAAGTTCATGCTGTGAACAGGGAATGAGATCTGTGAATTACAAAGCCAGACATGTTGGAAAACCAGCGAAATGAGCCAGCTGACTGTAAATAGGAGATGACGCGGGCTGCTCATCACACTGTTTTCTGAGGAAAATGTCAAGTCAAAAGCCCAGTCATTTCCCTATCTCTAAGTCACTCAGATAGATTTCAGTTTAACAATAACACCAAGGCATTACAGATACTTATTTTATTTCATATGGCATTGGAGACATTGTGATCATTCTTCCTGAAAGTAGTGTTGAAAAAGTGGCACCAGAAGCAAGAGGCATTATCTGACATTTCTACAACAGATAAAATGTAGTGATGGAAAATTTTAACAACTAGCCTGTATTCTAGATAAAGGGCTTTACGAACACTTGAACTAGAGGCAAGGAAAAGAAATTAGTTCCCCTCTCGAGTGTGCCTGTGCTCCCTAACACATAACTAAAAAATATAAATGAGTGAAGTTCTGCAGAATCTGTTAATCATCCATTAATTCGAAACATGTGTCAAAAAAGGAAAAACATCTAAAAGATACAACCCAACGTACTCCAAAGACTAGCTAGGAAACAATGTTCAGGAAGGGAATTAAAACCTTTAAAGTTGCACATAGAGTGCAAAAACACAGCTGCACTTCAGTGATATTTCCCAGGATAATATCAGGTGGTGTTATCTAATTCAATTAGTTATCAAGTGTGGCTTTCCAAAGCAGAGTTTCATGGACTGAAGATTTAATGATACTGAAGATTTAAAAACATCATGAAGAATAAAAACCAATGAGTTTTATTTTAAGTGTTGGTTGATAAAATCACAAAAGGCATGAAAAGTGGAGCTGTCCTGGTGACATTTGTAAACACTATGGAGGAAAAGCCCACCTTCTGCCCCATAGAATCCGTTCATTTGAGTTGCATTTTTGTTAAACATGATCTAAACCTGTCCTATAAGTCAGAGGCTTAATCAAATGTGAGCTGGAATCTATTTTACAGTAAAATCTAAATTTAAATTGTTTCCAATGAGGAAAAAACATGAGAAATAGCTTACCTGTGAGATATAACCAGGGGGGACGTGTATTGGGGGGATTGATCCATTTGGGGACATCATGGGAACCTCTGCAGGACCTGAAAGGGGAAAAAAACAAGAAGTCAAACTAAAGAATATTCTTATTTACATATGCTAATTTGCAGTACAAACACAGCTTCACACAAAGAGGAAGGAAAGGCCACCAATGGGAGAAGCACAAAAATTTAAACATGCTTTTAAAGAGTTTAAAGATATTATGTAATTTTTATAGTGTTTTCCTAAGACTTTTATTCCTGCTGATATCTTTAATTCTATAAATGCTCATTTTCTTCTTTACAGAAGATCTAATGCTCAGACTGGATCCTGAAACATAGAATTGAGTTTTGTTTGAGACTTTAATTGGGTCATTTTAAAACCTCTTAAGACCTATTCCATCGTGAACCATTCATGACCGCCTGACTCTCAAGTCTTTTCACAGAATCTACAGTGGCAGTTCTTGACCAAATTTAGCAGGGGCACAAAGGTATTGTTTTTTGTTTGTTTTTATATGAGAACCAAATTAAACAAAAGACAGGGCAAAAGTTAATTGCTGGATTTAAATAGATACGAGCTAAAATTAAGCGAACCAAAAAAAAACATTTGAAGCTCTGGAATCCTCAGATCTAGCATAAAATACTGACGCTACCTAAAGTAGCACATCTGAAGAGCTAGTTGGAATTGGCAAAATTCGAAAACCACCCTCAATTTCCAAAAAATGTTTTTACATTTGCTTGAGGTGGTTTGTGGCATTGCAAAATGTTAATTTGCAAAACGGGAGATGGAAACACTGTTTTTGAAGCAGCTCTTATGTAGCGAACTTTTATCTCAAAGGACTGATGAGCTGGAAGCAAACATGTCTGCAAGCAACAACGCCATTACTAACTTATATTGGAACGTAAGAACATCTTGCCTGGAAAGCAACATTTTAATTAAAACTCTCCTACGGTACTGATCGGTGATCAGAGCTAGATTGCAGCCTCTACATCCTGTTTAAGTCATGTATGACAGTAGCCTGGGTGCCATTCCGAACTTAGTCCCTCCCACAAGGTTTGAGGTCGGGAAGTTCGGTCTGGCATTGCTCCATAGTAGCGCGAGTATGATCGCCTACTCTCTGGTGATCCAATCAAATTGTCAGGGCGGGCTTTATACGATGATGGACAG